GCCATATAATGCGCTGCTGATCCCTTCTTCCAGTTCCAGCCTCCACAATAGCAATACACCTCGTGGTGATACACACGCACGCACACGCCTTTCTTCTTTTACCAGCCTCCAAGAATCACTCGCTCACTGCGCGCCATGGAGATTGCCATGGTATGCACAAGAGTTAACCTCCTCATCCTCATCCTCTCCCTCTGCTCGCCATACAAGTTCATCCAGAGCCCCATGGACTTTGGCCCCTTGAACCTGCTCCCCACCACCATCGCTGCGTCCAGTGACTTCGGCAGGATCCTCTTCCACTCCCCGTCCGCGGTGTTGAAGCCCCAGTCCCCAAGGGACATCTCTCTGCTTCTTAGCTTCCTCTCCGCCTCGTCTCTAGGCAAGGTGACGGTGGCGGCCAGGGGTGCGGGTCACTCCATTCATGGACAGGCCCAGGCCCTCGATGGCATTGTGGTGGAGATGCGCTGCTTGCCTGCTGAGATAGAGCTGCACAGAGGAGGAGAAGGAGATGTTTCCTATGCTGATGTGAGCGGCGGAGCCATGTGGATAGAGCTCCTGGAGCAGAGCTTGAAGGCTGGGCTGGCTCCAAGGTCCTGGACTGATTACCTCTACATCACCATTGGTGGGACTCTGTCCAATGCCGGCATCAGCGGGCAGACATTCAAGCATGGGCCTCAGATTAGCAATGTTCTACAGCTGGAGGTAGTCACAGGTACGATAAGAGATGCATGCTGAGGGGGCAAAAAAAGGACAAGATCTTCTTATTTGGCTTTTGGCCCTGTCTCCCTTGGTCAACAACATCTTGGTTGCTGATGGGCAGTAGATTTTGTGCTCCTCTTTGATTGACAGGCAGGGGAGAGACCGTGACATGCTCGCCCACCAAGAACGCAGAGCTGTTCAGCGCTGTTCTGGGAGGCCTTGGCCAGTTTGGCATCATAACTAGGGCAAGGATCCTGCTGCAGGAAGCTCCACAGAAAGTATGTACGCAGCGTTACACCTGTCTTGTTCTCATTAGTCTAGTGTAAGCCTGTGCCATGCATAGATGATTAATCAGGTTTTCGACTTCATTCAGGTGAAGTGGGTGAGGGCCTTCTACGACGATTTCGGCACCTTCACCAAAGACCAGGAGCTGCTGGTGTCGATGCCGGATATGGTGGACTACGTAGAAGGTTTCATCGTCTTGAATGAACAGTCGCTTCACAGCTCTTCCATTGCCTTCCCTGCAAATATGGACTTCAGCCCAGATTTTGGCACCAAGGGCAGTCCTAAGATCTACTACTGCATAGAGTTTGCGGTTCATGATTATCAGCGCGTGAATACCAATGTGGAGCAGGTAAGCCCCAGAACTGTTTTTTTTTGTGTGTGTGTGTGTGTGTGTGTGTGTGTGTGTGTGTGTGTGTGTGTGTGTGTGTGTGTGTGAACTTGTCAAGGCTTGGGAATGAATGATGGAGTGTGTGTGCATGTGTTTATTTTCAGGTGGTGGAAGCCATCTCAGTGCAGATGAGCCACATAGCGTCCCACCTGTACAGTGTGGAGGTGTCCTACTTTGATTTCCTCAACAGGGTGAGGATGGAGGAGATGAGCCTGAGGAGCAGCGGGCTCTGGGAGGTGCACCACCCGTGGCTCAACATGTTCGTGCCCAAGGCCGGGATCAGGGACCTGAGGGACCTTCTCATGGACAACATCTCACCGGATAACTTTGAGGGGCTCATCCTCATCTATCCACTCCTCAGAGACAAGTAAGCTGTGTGTGCTACTAATCAACGCAATGCATTGTAGGCATTACATTAAGATATCTCAACTTGGGGCTGGGGGACACATCAATACGTGTAGGCATTGTTTATAGAAGAAAATATTATCTACCGATTGTTTAACTAACCTTGTTTGTGACCGCTGCGTTGGCTTCCAAGCAGTCCAAGTTCGACAAGCCTTTCTCCGCATCATTTTCGTTTAGTAACGAGTTCGTTTCTATGTAATCAAAGTGCTGAGAATTAATCAGCTCTGCTCATCGGGCATGAGATAGTCCCTTTTGGCATTCGCATGCTGCCCCATTTTCTACCATCTATACTGCTATAGCAGGCAGTACAGGCCTGAGAACATATCATTTATTCCATATTTCTACGTGGGGCACCATTCTGCTCTTCCCTGGAAGCACCTGCTGTGTTTTTCATGCATAGCATTCATGATTTGTGTGTGTTCTCTTGTACAGTATATTGTAAAGGTCTGGAAGAGAACGTATTATCTTTGATAAATGATGTGTGATGTATCCTTGTGTGCGCCTAGCCGCCTACTTAGGGTCTTCATTAGTATACAGGCATCTTGGTCCCAACACTCTTCTTTTCATAAGAAATAAAAACTGCTCACTTGCCTTTACTATGGAGTGGGTATAGAGGGCAGAAAAGTTGCAGCCCTGCTTTGTACTAACATTGGACACAACACACACAAAAAAAATGAGAATATTAGATCGGTCGGTTGTTTAATGCTGCGAACTCTTTTCTTATTGGAAAGTTCTATGTATGTCTACAATATTTCTGGTAGAAAGTCCACACCTACAGTGGCTTTGTTGGTCGATTGTTGCATGCTTGTGAATGATTGTTTCATGTTTTGTGGGTCCTTCAAATAGAATGACATCTGTCGCCAGCATTGTATGATTTAACTCAAACTATAGCTTTGGCTCAATGAGTGGCATCTTCTTTATTTGAGGAAACCTTTGTTAAGTACAGGGAGATATGTAAGCAAAGATACTTGCTCTCTCCTTAAAAGAAAAGAAACTGAGATTTGTCCTGCAGTTAAAAAATGCAATTTGGTTTATTTACGCTCAGATAAGATAAGCTTATCACAATGCATTATAAACAATAACTGCCTTCCAGTTCAAACATCAGCATGTAATCTCTTTTAATTGGGATAAAACTAATATTTGGCTAGCTACAAATTTATTTTCTTTGATGCATAACGTTGTTCACAATTCACGCATTCTGTATGTTTTTAAGATTCATTGACCTCACATTCAAGTATTTGCAAGGTGTCACTTCTACCAAGAAGTTTATACTAGTTTACCTGCAAGATGGCTTTCAAATACAAGTCAACTATTAGCTGATTGAGCCTTAGCAAAAGATCTAACTTGTGACCTACGGTTCATGTTCAATGTACTGAACTAGTTTAATAGGCCCAGTGTAGACTTGTCTCTATAAACATTTAAACAGAGACATTTCTGAGTCAGGATACACCGAACTGCAGGATGTCAACTATATAATTTTCTTCTCCTTCTTGTGTTCTTATCCATTTCATGATCTGGCAGTTGCTGAGATATACTCCCTCCGTTCCAAAATAGATGACCCAACTTTGTATTAAAGTTGGTATAAATTTGGGTCATCTATTTTGGAACGGAGGGAGTATCATTTAACTGTTACTCTGTTAATCTGGCAGGTGGGGCACTAACACATCGGTCGTGCTACCGGATTCCGGGTCCACGGAGCAGGTGATGTACGTGGTTGGCATTCTCCGTTCTGCAAACCCTGATGAAGGATGCTCCCACCACTGCCTCCAAGAGCTTCTCCGCCGTCATCGCCACATAGCTGACACTGCCGGAGTGCGCATTGGTGCAAAACAGTACTTGGCTCACCATCCAACTCCGGCTGGCTGGCACCAACACTTTGGCCCACGTTGGGAGCGGTTCGCGGAGCGCAAAAACCGGTTTGACCCGCTGTCCATCCTCGGGCCAGGCCAAGGTATATTCCCCAAGGGCAACACTGGGGTTTATGCAAGCTGACAGCATGAAATTTCATGGCCATTCATCGGTGGTAAAATAAGTGATATAGTTAGGTGACTAAGGTGGGATCCTGTTCTTTCTCTTTCGTAGCTCTTTTCGGGTTGTTTCCTCGGCATTTTGAGGCATGGGTTGGATTATTATGGTGGTGGTGGATCCTGAGAGAACTCAGTGGTTATGAATACCACTGGGAATTTTGGAACTCTGTACAGGCTGAGGAAGCACAGCTCTAGGGATAGAGATAGTGATTCTGTTCGATCTGTATGTTGCCATTAGGATTGTTGCTATTGTTCTCACTTTCATTCCCACAAGTATGAAACTCTCCGCACTCGACTCCTTTGGGCATCGCCGGTTCATTTGTGCTTTCGGCTGACCTTTCATAAAACTTGAAGAGTTAAATCAGAACCCAAGATGATATGCTTGCGAATTTACAGAGCGACCTTCTGAGATTCTTCTAAAATCATTGTTGTGAATCATACACCATGTCCATATGATATTCTTATCACCACTTTTGTCTGATGTTGGTCTGATGTCTGTTTAGTTCATTGTGACTGACTTTTTCTTTTCCAAACAGGGCCAAAATATTTACTCATCCATTAATTAAGTTTGTATTTTTTTGCAAAGGATCAAATCTTTTATAAAAGTTCACCGGAAGTACAAAGCATCTTAAACATAATACAAATTACATCAAGATTCCAAGACTACTGAACGACCGCTACTGCTGCCAGAACGAACCGCCGACGCGCCGTTGTCGCTGCTCCTCTACCGGAGTCGGCTTGACCTTTTCAATGACAGGCAGGAAGTCTTCATGCACGTGCCCCTAAGGACTAGCACCCGGAGCCGTAGTTGTCGCCTTTGAACCCTTTCATAGATCTGAAGCATCTGACACCAAATCTCGCCACATGACGAAAAATCGTAACACCGCCGCTCCAAGGAGATGGCAGGAATCTACGCATAAGTTCTGTTGACTACAGCCAGACGGACGAACTCTGGGAGGATCGAAGCCCGGAAGACAAACACGAAGAAGAAGTGCCACTGTTCCCCCGAGCACTGCACTTGCGAGGACTAAAAAATCCTAACCTAAACTACCAACTAGAGCGGATGCACCGGGATTCCCATCAACGCCACCGACCGCCGGGGCGGTAAGCGAAGGGGAGGCGAATCCGCAGACTCGCCGGTGAAGCCTGGAGGGGAGAGTTTGTCTTAGCTGCGTAGGGACAAGGGGGTAACGAGAGGAAGTCGTTAGGTGCGTCGTATCCATTAATTAAGTAAGAAGACAAGAGTTTGAGTAGAAGGAAAAAAATGTTACAACAGTGTCATTACTCTCCTGGCATGATTCTTTCCAAACGCATTGCACACACGATGACCCGGAGGCTTGCTTCCTTCTTGATAGCTTGTAGTAGTGTCGGAGGCGAAGGGCTTTAGTTACAAAAAATATGTCTTTCACTCCATACGGTCTAGTTGGTGAGCATGGTGATAGATGCCATCACCTTTCTATTTGTCCTCATTTCTCTAGACATGTTAATCCACCAATTCTTCATTGTTCTCTCTGTCAGCCATCTGTAGGTATCAATACTATCAAGATGTAACCACTCCTTGACCATCCTCCATAACCTTAGTGTGTCGTGACACTTGTAGAAAGGATGCACAACCTACTCTTGTTCTTGCTTGGATGATGGAAACAGCCCACAACTATCCCACCCAAGCTTGGCCAAACAGTCGACGGCCCATATCCTATCCTGGACAGCCAACCAACCAACTTCCTTGGGGGCGGGGAGGGGAGGGGGCATGTCCTCTGCATGGTCTTGTCCATAGACATGTGAGTTGCACCGAGGAACTGCATCTTTGAAGTAGCGGAATATTCGCCACTGCTTGTGTGCTTCCAAAGAATTTTCATCCTCCAATGTATCATACTTATTAACGTCTCGGATATTTTCCAAAGTGTGATAAATTGTTGAATGTGGGCCATGGTGAAGTCATGTGGCACCTTGAGTTTTGATATTGGAGCGTCGCTGTGCATTACCTCTTTCACCTTCCCATGGAACCATGGGGACTCAAAGGACGGTGCACACACTTCGTTCCCAATGATGATAGTTGTCGAGACGTAGAACAAGTCCATGGCATTCGTTTCATAAGGGTCCTATGCCCATCCACATCTTGGACTCGCTTTCCACTCATACTAAGGTCGTCTCAATCTTAGGGCTAGTTCTTTTGCTGGCTTCTAGAATTTGATGGAATAATATGACCCTACCTAGCTTATTCTAGAAGCCCAACTAAATTTATTTATTTTAAAGCCCACTAATTAAGATTTGACCAGTAAGCTTCTAAAAATATATTTTTGGTTGGGCTTCTAGAATAAGTTGGGTAGGGGTAGCTTATTCTAGAAGCCCAAAAAACCACCAAAAGAACTGGCCCTAAGCACGTGGGCAACCTTTTCTAGGTGGAGGACTGAAAGTGCAACTATCCCTAGGTGGTTTTGGTAATTCATAACAACATATAGCTCATTGAGCTAATGCTATTCCAAGATAATTATTTCAGGAAAGCTCAATGATTGGCATGGCATGGATGTGAAAGTGGAACCCTCAAAATGCTAAGGACAAAGGATTGGCTCAAGCTCAAAAGCTCAAGACTCTTCATTTTATATTTTAGTGATCCAAGATCACATTGAGTCTTTAGGAAAAGCCAATACTATTAAGGAGGGATGAGGTGTTGCTTAATGAGCCTCTTGCTTCATGTGCTTAATGATATGCTCCAAAATCCTCAACTACTTTCCCATATCCACATATGACCTAAACCCTAAGCCAAACTCGGTCCTACCGATTCTTTCTATCCGGCGCCACCGAGTTTCACTTGTCATTAGCCACTGCCAAACCCTAGCAATTCGGTTCTACCAATAAGGATCTCGGTCTCACCGAGATGGGGTTGCAAACTCTCTGTTTCCCTTTCGTAACTTTTCGGTCTTACCGAAAGAGCGAATCGGTCCCACCGAGATTGTAATGTAAACTCAGTGTTTCCCCTTTGTAACTTTTCGGTCTCACCGAGTTCCACTCGGTCTCATCGAAAGAGCAAATCGGTCCCACCGAGTTTGCCTGACCAACTCTCTGGTTAGCTAATTACCAAATTCAGTCTCATCGAGTTTGTGTAATCGGTCTCACCGAGATTACGTTATGCCCAAACCCTAACCATATCGGTCCTACCGAGTTGCATGTCAGTCCCACCAAAAATCACTAACAGTCACTAGGTTTACATTTTTGGTCCGACCGAGCTTATTGATTCGGTCCCACCGAGATTGGAAAACTGTGTAACGGTTGGATTTTGTGTGGAGGCTATATATACCCCTCCACCTCCTTCTCATTCGATGAGAGAGCCATCAAAACACACACACCATTCCAACTCATATGTTCTGAGAGAGAACCACCTACTCATGTGTTGAGACCAAGATATTCCATTCCTACCATATGAATCTTGATCTCTAGCCTTCCCAAGTTGCTTTCCACTCAAACCTTCTTTCCACCAAATCCAAATCCTATGAGAGAGAGTTGAGTGTTGGGGAGACTATCATTTGAAGCACAAGAGCAAGGAGTTCATTACCTACACACCATTTGTTACTTCTTGGAGAGTGGTGTCTCCTAGATTGGCTAGGTGTCACTTGGGAGCCTCCGACAAGATTGTGGAGTTGAACCAAGGAGTTTGTAAGGGCAAGGAGATCGCCTACTTCGTGAAGATCTACCGCTAGTGAGGCAAGTCCTGTGTGGGCGATGGCCATGGTGGGATAGACAAGGTTGCTTCTTCGTGGACCCTTTGTGGGTGGTTGCTTCTTCGTGGACCCTTCATGGGTGGAGCCCTGTGTGGACTCGCGCAACCGTTGCCCTTGGGTGGAGCCCTGTGTGGACTCGCGCAACCGTTACCCTTCGTGGGTTGAAGTCTCCATCAACGTGGATGTAGGATAGCACCACCTATCCGAACCACGGGAAAAACATCCGTGTCTCCAATTGCGTTTGAATTCTCCGAACCCTTCCCTTTACATTCTTGCAAGTTGCATGCTTTACTTTCCGCTGCCTATATACTCTTTGCATGCTTGCTTAAATTATGTGATGATTGCTTGACTTGTCCTAAAATAGCTAAAATCTGCCAAGAACTAAAATTGGGAAAATGTTAAGTTTTTATTTGGTCAAGTAGTCTAATCACCTCCCCCTCTAGACATACTTTCGATCCTACAAGGACGCCAACGTCATTGAGATCCATGGGATAGCACATGATATTCTAGTTTATCTTTGCACTTTACGCCTGTTGTCTTGTTCTCTCCTGACCAAAGAAATGCCCTTTCGATTTTGTTGATGTTGTGAACCACATTGGTAGGACCAAGGTGGTGGTATGATAAACCGCCAACAAGGTGAGCACTTATTTAACAGGGACAATGCTACTGGTGATGGTAATATTCTTCCCTTCCCACTAGACAAACCTGGCTGTGATCTTGTCCTCAAGAAAATGAAAGTCCACACCCTTTAACTTCAAACCGAAAGGAGAAGGTGTAGGTACTTGATCAGGAAGTAAGCACGCATTGTCGATAAGCTCGCGAGAGTGTTCTTCTTAAGATATCGCACACCAATTTGCTAATTGGCATGTGCATGCATCAACCCCAAAAATTGCCTTGGCTCATGTGTAATATATCATTAAGAAAGGATAAATTATAATAGCAAATAGTGATGTAAAATGGACGTATCAGGGGCATACGCATTGGAGTATTGATGTTTGATCCTCTCATCACTAAGAAACACATCCAAGGTGTAGTTCTTGACCTTGATGCCATTGTCACTTCTTATTGGTAATATCTTTGCATTGTGTTGATGTTGAACTTCGTTGCCAAAATCTATCGCGATTGGTTGGGTCTCACTTTTATTTTTGAAGAAATACACCCAAGTATATCTTGAATAATCATCAACAATAACCAAGCAATATTTCTCCCACCAAGACTATCATAGGTTGGAGGACCAAAGAGATCCAAATGACTCGGTTTCAGTCCCTTTCCCGCTGTCTCAGCCCCTTGACTCGGTTTCTTGAAGCATCTCTCCTGCGGGAGAGTTCTCCGTGAGTTTAACATATCAGGCCCTCTACCGACACCCG